AATAAGTGAGATGTGTGTGTGTAGTTTAAAGTATCGCTATAAATTGAACACCCATATACTCGCCACCAGGTCTAGAACAGCATGCAACTCCCCAGAACCCCCTGTATTCCCCTTTCATATCCCATTCCCTCTGAGGAGGCCACTCTCCTAACTTAGGGAAATCACTTTCTTGCTTTTTTCTTTGCTGTTATGCTGTATGTACCCCACCAAACCAGCACCTGCTTCTGAACTTCATGTAAATGGAACCCGTTGGGTACCTACTCCTTGTGACTTATTTTTTTTCTCTTTTTATTTATTTATTTTAAATATTTATTCTTAAGTCTTAGGTGGACATAATATTTTTATTTTACATTTATGTGTGCTGAGGATCGAACCCAGTGCCTTGTGCATGCTAGGTGAGCGCTCTACCACTGAGCCACAACCCCAGCCCCTTTTTCTCTTTTTAGACAAGGTGTTGAGGAGGCTTCTTGAGTGCCTCGTGATGTTTTCCAGGCTTATGGATTCAGGAGTATGCTGTCTTCACAAAAATGACCGGCCTTGAGCCATACAGGCCAGCTTTCAGCCTCTTAGCTCAGCCATTTGGGGCAAGACCTTTCTTTTCATTATACCACTGGACATGAGCACTTCAAGAATAAGAAGCGTGGCCTGGGGCTGGGGCTCAATGGTGGAGCGCTTGCCTAGCTGGCCAGTGAGGCACTGGGTTCAATCCTCAGCACCACATAAAAGTAACAAATAAAATAAAGGCATTCTGTCCATCTACAACTAAAAAAATTTTAAAAATAAAAATAAAAAAGAATAAGAAGTGCGCTTCATTTGTTATTCTGTCCTTAGAAGCTCACAGGCTGGAGGTGTGTGGAATCCCAAGCATATGAAGAAGTTGTGGTAGGATGAAGTGAGGCTCACAGCAAGCACTCAATACATGGTAGCTAGTCTTATCACTGTCACCAGTGCTGTTTATTTGAAGATGTGCCTACCCCTCATAGGGCTGCCAATGTTCCCCACCTCCTGGTATTTGTGTGTGTGTGTGTAAGCAGGGGATTGAATTCAGGGGCACTCAATCACTGAGCCCCTACCCCAGCCCTATTTTGTATTTCATTTAGAGACAGGGTCTCACCGAGTTGCTTAGCGCCTCACTTTTGCTGAGGCTGCCTTTGAACTTGTGATCCTCCTGTCTCAGTCTCCCGAGCTGCTGGGATTACAGGTGTGCACCACCGTTTCAGCTCAGCTTGGTTTTTGAGCTGAGTCCATGTTCCTCATGGAGGCAAGCCAAGTACCGAGCAAGGTAATGACATAGGCCTCACCACCTCTGCCCCAGCTGGACCCTCTGAAGGGCAGCCTTTGCTTCAGAGCTCCCCGTTGGGCTGGCAACAACTTTGACACGTCTTTATTGGGGTCTGCCCCTTCCAGGGGGTTGCTCTCCGATAAGCCTTTCCCATTTCCACTTCATGACAGCCCCTGCTTGTCAGAGAACCTATTCTGCAACCAAAGACAACACAGCTCTTCAGAGGAAACCCAAGCTTTCTAGTCAGCCCAGATATGGGAACAAATACAGACTCCACTCCTTGCTGGCTCTGTGACCCTGAGCAAGTTACTTAACTTCTCTGAACCTTGCTTTTCTCACGTGTAAATAAACTGGATAACAAATAATGTGGGGGTTGAATTGGGATATTTATAGAATATGTAATAGAATGCCCAGCAGGAAGTAAGTGCTAGGACAGGATGGCCATTGTCTATCCATAAACTGCACACCTACTCTCCCCTTCACATTTTACATAAGGTTTTATTGGAAATTAGTTCAATATATTGTCTGTTATATTGATAGTAGACTTTTTTTTTTGGTACCATGGATTGAACCCAGGGTCATTTAACCACTGAGCCACATCCCAAGCCTTTTTTTGTACTTTTTGCATTTTATTTAGAGGCAGGGTCTCACTGAGTTGCTCAGGGCCTCGCTAAATTGCTGAGGCTGGCTTTGGACTTGCAATCCTCCTGCCTCAGCCTCCCAAGCTGCTGGTATTATAGGCATGTGCCACTGCCCCCAGCTATAGTAGACTTTTAACATTTATGAGGCTTATTCCCATTACCTTCCTGAAATTCCCAATACTACCACAGCATATATTCACCCATGAAATAAAGTACAACTCAAAATTATATGACTCTGGGGCTGGGGTTGTAGCTCAATGGTGGAGCGCTTGCCTAGCATGTGGGAGGTACGGGTTCGATCCTCAGCATCACATAAAAATAAATGAATAAAATTAAGGTATTGTGTTCATCTACAACTAAAAAAATTTTTTTTAATTATATGATTCCTTAAACCCTTAACAGTTTAATAAATAAGAAACACAAACTTTATAAAGCTGTTAAAATAAGTATGGCTGAGCCAGGTGCCATGGAACACATCTGTAATCCCAGTGATTTGGGAGGCTGAGGCAGGAGGATTGCAAGTTTGAGGCCAGTCTCAGCCACTTAGTGAGACACTGTCTTGAAATAAAAGATAAAAAGAGCTGGAGATGTGGCTCAGAGTGTCTCTGGGCTCAATCCTAGTACAAAGAAAATAAAAGAAAGTATGGCTGGACTAAAGCCAAAGCAATTTCATGGTTGTTTCTCTTGTTTGCATTGTACTCAATCACATTAGAAGGCTGAGCCATGCTGAGTATCACCCTTTTAATAAACCTGGACGTTTGCAAGTTAAGAGGTCCGAACCTGTTCCTCCCACTATCTGCCCTACCTTGATAGCTAATTTCAAGCCAGAAAATGGAAAGCCACCTGAGGTTGCTCCCTCTCTCTCATTCCCCACCTCCAAGCCAACACTGTTTCAGAAAGATCCTTGTAGCCTTAATGTAGAGGCTGTCTGCAGGGTTGGGTGGGGAGAAGATAAGAGGTAGAGCCATTTGCTACCCTGTGGATCAAAAGAAAAGGACAGGGTTGGAGGACACAATAGGAAAAATAATTAAGCTTCTCTTGTTAGAAATATTGAATTAGTGGTGCCTCTGAGCTATCCGAGAGAGAGATTTTTCACAGGCAATGAAAATGTCTCAAAAAAAAAAAAAAAAAAAAAAAGCGGGGGGGGGGGGGTCGGTGTGGAATGTAGCTGAGTTGGTAGAGTGCTTGCCTTGCATGCATAAGGCCCTGGGTTCAATCCCCAGCAACATACACACACACACAAGTAATGACTGTCAACATATAATGCTGCTATCCATTGTTAATAAAACTCTTAGTCCATTCTATTGCTATAACAGATTTTTGGAGACTAGGTAATTAATAAATAAAAGAGGTTTATTCTGGCTCACAGTTCTAGATGCTGGGAAGCCCAAGAGTGTGCAATCGGCATCTGTTCAGTTTCTGCTGAGGGCCGCATACTGCTTCACCCCATGTGGGAAATTGAAAGGTCGAGGTCAAGTGTAAAAACTCATTCTCAACAGAAAGACCTTAATCCATTCATGGATGCTATCTCCATGAACCAAACACCTCCCCCTGGTCCCCATCTTCCAACACTGTCACATAGAGGAATTAAGATTCCAAGATATGAACGTTTGGAGACACACTCAAAATAGTAAAATCATTTACTCCAAGCTGGGTGTGGTGGTGCATGCCTGTAATCCAAGGAGCTCTGGGGGCTGAGGCATGAGGCTCAGGAGCTCGAAGCTAGCCTCAGCAAAGGCGAGGCCCTAAGCAACTCAGTGAGACCCTGTCTCTAAATAAAATACAAAACAGGGCTGAGGATGTGGTTTAGTGGTTGAGTGTCCCTGAGTTCAATCCCTGGTACCCAAAATTAAAAAAAAAAAAAAAAGGACATATACTCCAATCTCTATTTTCAGAGCATTTTACACTTTTTAATGTCATCGCATGTGGTTCTATGCAGTATTTTCTGGTTAAAAGTGTGGGCCCTGACCACAGACTGGGTTCAGATCTCACAGCTGCCACTTTTTAACTGTGTCATCTTAGGGAAGTTATCTAAACTTGCATTGCTTTAAGTTCCCCAGGTGTAAAATGAGTAGAATAAACAGCCCCAGCTCAGGTTGATGATTAAATAAATCAACAGCTATAAAGCCCTTACAACAGGGATCCCCTCAATCAGGATGGCTATTATTCTTACTACTGCAGCGAGCCACGCTGTCCTCCCACTTCTGAGACTTCCCGGTGGAGGCGGCATGTCTACACGGTCTTCTGTAGAGCCCCCTTCTTGTCACTGTCTTATGGATGGTTTTTACCTGTCTTATGGATGAGCTGGAATGCGAACTCAACTGGGGCCTCTGGAGACATCGCAGAAGGAGTGAACATCACAAATGGCAGTCTTGGGTGACAAAAGCCTTTAAGGAATGTCTGGGGGAGGGGGACTGCTCACATGGAGACCTGCCCCATATGGAGGAAAAAACCTGTTTGATTCATGGCAAATGAGTTTGGCTTAAGCTGGGTACAGGGGCATATGCCTGTAAACCCAGTGACTCTGGAGGCAGAGAGGATCCCAAGTTTGAGGCCAGCCTCAGCAACCATAAGATCCCATCTCAAAATAAAGAGGGGGTGCTGTGGATGTAGTTCATCGGTCGAGTCCCCCTGTCTTCAATCCCCACTATCAAACAAATGAACAAAGAAACCCACACAAACAAATGAGTTTGACATGATTTGTTCCATTTTGGCCAATCTAGGTTTCCCAGCAACTCTCAAAACCACTTCCACTGCTGACCCAACAGTGTGGCTCTGGTGGTGTTTCAGCCAAACCACGCAGCAAGACACCAAGGTGAGGCCACCCGGGCTTTCACTAACCCCCTGTAAGTAACCTTTCCAAGAAAGTCTCATCATTGTCTTGCTTTTGCAGCTGAGACTGAGGTACAGAGAATCTGAATAAGTTGTTCAAGGTCATACACTAGTAAACAGAGCCAAACCCAGAGAGCCTGCTCCAACCTCATGTATTTAGGGCTCTTGCCAAGTTCCTCCTACCAAAAACAGGGGCCAGCCACTCGTGGGCACTAATTCCAGATGTTCCAGAGCCCTGACCAGGGGCAGGAGGAGGGACACGCCTGTCCAGATAATTAAGACACGTGCTTGAGAGACAGGCAGCCCTGCCTTCACCCCCAGCCTGGGAGCCCTCTTAAGGGCTGCCCTTCAGCTTGGCTTTGAGCGCCACTTCTCCGCTGGAGACACCTGTGGCTGTCCTCTCCCTTCTGCCTTTCTCCAGGACTGGGAAACAGCGGGACCACGCCCACTGGGGGCTCCTCTCCCCCCTCCTGTTCCCCACCTACCATCCACAGGCCACTACATCTGCCTCTTCCCAGAAAGAATGCATGCCCCACGTTCAAGGCTACAGCGAGCAGCAGGACTGTACTGAAGGTTCCAGAACAGAGCCGGTGTGTGTGTGTGTGTGGGGGGGGGGGGTGCAGAAAACTACAATTCAGTTTGATGCTTTCCTGCTGCTTGTCAGCCTGCCACCCATTTGCTTGGCACCCTCGTCCCTTGCCAGGGTGGGAGGAGGTGACTCAGAGGTCTGCCTTCTCTCTTCTCCGTTGTTCCTTGCTCTCCCCAACTCCCCACCCCAGACACACATGGCCTCTTCTTGGAGCCCCCCATCCCCCAGACCAGGACAGGAGGCTTGCTCACGAATGGCTGGCACAGGCCTATGCCGCTCTCCCTTTGAGGGGGCTCCTCAATAAGCCCCCAAGCCAGAGCTCTTTAGAGACTGGGAGGAATGGGAACAGCCAGTGAGGCCAAGCTGTTGCCTTGCTGGGGAGGGAAATGTCAGCTGCCTTTGCCTGCCCTGGCCTTTCCTCTACTTGCTCTTCTCTGAAGGTCACTGGTTTCAAAGGTCTCAGCAAATCTGTTTTCCCTCCATCGCTGGGTTTCCAGCTCCTCCTAACAGGGAGAGGGGTTTGTCCCTGAAGATTGCCAAAGGCAGTGGCGAGAAACTCACCCAGCAATTACCTTGAAGAGCCTTCCCTGGTGAATAGGCTCTTTCTCTTCCAAGTTGGAAAATTCTCACCTTGTGCCAGTTAGTCCAGAGGGCACTTGGAACTCTGCCAGCTGAAACACTAAGCCCTTAAAGGGAAAGTGAGCAAGGAACAAAAGCAGCCTTCCAGGGGTTTGTGGCAGCAGCCTGGTGGCTTTAACACACACACACACACACACACACACACACACACACACGGTAACAAAGAGCTGTTACCCTGGTAGAACACACTGGAACATAATGTTAAATCCATTTTCAGAACAGCCATCCCTGATTAAATATACGACTTTTCTCCCAAGGGAATGTGGATTTTATTGCCAAGTTCTACAACCTACCTACCCTCTCACTCTAAAGAGGAAGTGCCCATGCTGAAAAAGACTTACGAAATCAGAAACTTCCTGAAGTGTGTACATACATGGATCATTTGACCAGCAGAAGGTTCATCATTTATGATACTAACAGAATGGCCCAGAATGGCTGTATGTATCTTTTTTTTTTTTTATTAGCTACACCTGACATTACAATGATCTTGGCAATTCATACATTTGAATCAATTGGGGTATAATTTCTCATTTTTCTGATTGTACAGATTGCAGAATCACACTGGTCATACAGTCACCTATATACGGCTGTATGCATCTTACCAAGTACATTGGCCTTGGAGGCACTGTATGATTTTTTTTTTCCTTTTTAAATTTTATTTTTGAGACAGGGTCTGGCAAAGTTGCTGAGGCTGGCTTCAAATTTATGATCCTCTGGGCTGGGGATGTGGCTCAAGCGGTAGCGCGCTCGCCTGGCATGCGTGCGGCCCGGGTTCGATCCTCAGCACCACATACAAACAAAGATGTTGTGTCCGCCAAAAAAACTAAAAAATAAATATTAAAAAAAATTCTCTCTCTCTCTCTTTAAAGAAAAAAAAATTTATGATCATCCTGCATCAGTCTACTGAGTTGTTGGGACTACAACTGTGTGCTACTGTGCCCCTGTGAACATGTGGGAAACAATAGGGCCACACCCTCTGGGCTCCCCTCCCTTGTGTTCAGCCAGGCTCCCTCCTATTCCCCACTCATCATCAATAGCCCTGATGTTGACGCACTAGATACTGATGCTGATTTTTACTACCAACAAACTCTGTGTGTGTGTGTGTCTGAGTGTATGTGTGTGTGTGTGAGTGTGTGTGTGTGTGTTGGGGTTGATCCCAGGGCCTCACACATGGTAAGAATTTGTTGTGACGTTTCCATTCACCCCTGGCATGTGATCTCTCCTGATCATGAGAATTTGTACAACCCCAGTCTCTGCTGACAAATTCTCATGGTCAGGAGAGATCACATGCCAGGAGTGAATGGAAATGTCACAGCAAAATACTGCACCCCCTTCACTGCCCCCACAAGTGACCACATTTTTTTTAAGGAACAAAAAAAACTTGATTTCCCCATCCTGACTTTTAGTAGATCCAAGCCCCAAAGCATCTGTGTTTTCCCTAGACTCTGTTCAGTTGTGCCTCAGTACACCCTAACACAACTTCCTTTTGGTTTGGGCTTTCTTGCCTTTAGATTCACATTTATATTTTAAAATATTTTTTCTCAGAGGTTTCCATTTCCTAGTCTATATAAAAACAGGGCTTGACTTGACTTGAGCAAATTAAAACAGGTTCCGCTCCTAGGAGTGGTATTAAATGGGCTCCCTGATAGATGCCAGTGCCACTTTATTTTTGGTGTCTCTTAAAAGGACCTTTTAATAGCTCTGAGTAGGGGCAGTAATCCTTGGAAACAAGATAAATGGGGAGAAGTCTGCTTCCCTACCCCTAACTCTCTGTGATTCCCTTTATAATTGAGGCAACTAAATTGGAGAGTGAATGCTGTGGATCCTATAATTTTACTTGGAATTTCCTACTGTGGACACTGACTTTTTTTTTTTTTTTTTAACGTTGAACACGTACAAAGTCAAACCTCCTCCCAACCCGGTCTCAAAGTACACTTGAAAGACTTTTTCCTGTGGCAGTCATTCTCAATTTCTCCAGGTTTATGAAGAAGAGTGGAACCATGCCTTTCTCAATTTCTAAATCCACACTATATTTAGTTAAATGCAAGGAGCTGTGGATGTAACCCAGTGGTAGAAGGTATGCTTAGCATGTACGGGGCACAGAGTTCAATCCCCAGCACACACACACAAATTATTTAGTAATATTTAGGCTTAGCTATAAGTGGTATAAAATTTATATTAAAAATTGCTCAAGACAAAAATTTATTTCTGTCCCATGTACAAAGAGGAAAGTGGTACAAAGTGGAAAGGTAAGTCTACCCCTCAAAATCCTCAGGAACTTGGATTCTTCTAGCAAATTCCCACAATACCTGATAGGGTCCTTATGTTCATGATCCCAAAGGGTTGCATCTATATGTTACCTAGAAAAGAGGTTGAAAGAGTTAAAAGTTTTCCAGTATTGCTGGAGAATACTCTGTTAAATATCTAATTGGCCAGAACCTAGTCACATGGCCATACAACAGCAAGGGAGGCTGGGAAATGTAGTTTTCTTCTGAATAGTAGTATGCCCAGTTAAAAAATCTTTCTCCTCCCTCCCATCCTTCCTTTCTTCCTTCTTCTTCTCCTCCCTCCCTCCCTCCCTCCCTTCCTTCCTTCCTTCTTTCCTTCTTTGTGGTACTGGGGATCAAGCCCAGTTCCTTGTACATGCTAGGCCAAGTACTCTATCCCTAAGCAACACTCCCAGTCCCACCCACCCTTTTTTGAGACAGGGTCTCACTATTTCCCAGGCTGGTTTCAAAACTTCTGGGCTCAAGCAATCCTGCCTCAGCCTCCCATGTAGCAGTTACTGCAGGTATGTGCCACTGTACCCACTTGGATGCAATTTTTAAGAGTTTTGCTTATATCTATCCGATTTGCAAAGTTGGACCAGAAGTCAGGTAGGTCTCCTGAGAAGCTTAAAACATTCCCATGAGCACGTTCCTTACCAATGTGGAAGAATAAGTGAGGAGAGCCTGAAAAGCCACATAGGACCATGCTTTTTCCTCTGACCTTGCTCCTGATAAGAAGAGTTCTGAGGTGAGGGAAGTAGGAAAGAGTATGGGATGGGCCACTGTAGGAGGCAGCTTTAAAAGAGCTCCTGGAAATGCCCACCTCCTGCTCCAGCCCTGTGTAATCTCCATTGTGGACTGGACGTATTGACTTATCCTTAAAGAATAGAATAGGTGATGGGTTTGGTGGCGCACACCTGTAATCCCAGCAGCTTGGGAGGCTGAGACAGGAGGATCATGAGTTCAAAGCCAGCCTCAGCAAAAGTGAGTCACTAAGCAACTCAGTGAGACCCTGTCTCTAAATAAAATACAAAATAGGGCTGGGGATGTGGCTCAGTGGTTGAATGCCCCTGAGTTCAATCCCCATACCAAAAACAAACAGACAAAAAAAAAAAAAAGCCACAAATAGGTTACTGATGAGACATAACTTCTGAGGTTTGGTTAGACAGTGACTTCTGTCTTTCTTTACTCTACTTTCTCCCTCTGACTCACATTCCTTGCTCAGAGGAAGCCAGCTGCCTTGTTGTGAGCTGCCCTGTGGAAAGGTTTGCATGACAAGGGGTTAAGGGAGGCCTTCAGTTCAACAGCTCTGTAAGGAAATGAATCTTCCCAATAACCTTGTGGATGAGGGTGGAAGCAGATTCTATCCCAGTTGAGTCTGAGACAACTGTGATTCTGGCCAACATCTTGATTGCAGCTCTGTGTGAGAGAGGATAGAAGACCCAGGTTAGCCACACCTGACCCCATAGAAGCTGTCAAATAAAAATGTTCTGGGAAGGGCTAGAGCTGTGGCTCAGTGGTGGAGCATTTGCCTAGCATGTGTGAGGCATTGGGTTTGAGCCTCAGCACCACCTAAAAGAGTAAAATAAATTAAATAAAGGTATTGTGTACATCTACAATTGATATACTTTATTAAAATATATCACATATATATTTTAATGTTAAGCCACTCTGTTACTGGATAATTTAACACATAGCAATAGATAACTAACATACCCATCAAATAGGAAGTTCTCAAGTTTCTTTTGACTTTGTTTCTTATCAGGTTCATCTTGAATCAAAAGAACAAAAATTGTGAGCATTTTTGCCATTAGGTAGCAAACACTCCCCAAGTGGGTCACAGGGAATAAATTCCCAATATTTATTGTCCAAGATCCCAGCATTCACCTTCCTTGGTGAAAGATTAAACAGACCGTAGAGATCCATCCTATCCAATCTTCCTGAACAAAAGCCAAGGAGAGAAACCAAAACATAACCAGATGAATGGGATGGGTAATTAGATTATATAACTGCCTTCTCTCAAAGACATAAGTGAATAAAAAAACAAACACAGGAGACCAGGCACAGAGGTGTAAGCCTGTAGTCCCAGCTACTGGGGAGGCTGAGGCAGTAGATTGATGAGTTCAAGGTCATCCTGGGTAACACAGGCAACATAGACAGCAAGACCCTGTCTCAAAAACCAAAACCAAACAAATAAGCCAAACAGCAAATAATATATAAACATAGAGGGGAAAACCCTGTAACTGAAATGGAGGAAATTAACACAAAGTACAAAAGATAGGTGAGGAACTTTCCTTTGAAGATTCGCACTAGGGAATTATAAATACTTTGCCTCCTTTCAGGGAAATTAAAGTTATTGTGGAGTCTATGAAATAAAAAATTAAAAAGGAGATAAAAAGACAAGAGTAATATGGTGAAATAGCAGCTGGCATAATTAGGGAAGATGAATTAAGGAGAAAGATAATTGTAGAACGGTGAAAATGAAGTAGTGATGTTGAGAGTAGTCATGAGAAAAGGCACTTAGAATAAAGGGTAAAGGACAAAAAAAGTGGGGAAACAGATCCTTAAAATATTCAAATATACAATGGAAAATGTTGTCAAACTGAAGATCTGAACCTGTGGAAGAGAAAGCTCACACGGTGTCAGGCAAAATTAAAAACTAGCAACATCACCAGGTGCAGCAGTGCACACCTGTAATTCCAAATACTCAGGAGGCTGAAGCAGGAGGATGGCAGATTTGAGGCCAGCCTCAGCAACTAGCAAGATTCTGTCTCAAACTAAAAAATAATAATAATAATAAAAATGGGGCTGGGGTGTAGCTCAGTGGCAAAATGCCACTGGGTTCAATCCCCAGGATCAAAACAACAACAACATAAATAGAAACATGAATGTAAATATCTGAAATTACCAATTTGCATGATTAAACAAAGATGTTAACAGCATCTGGGTATTAAGAGAAACTGTTTCCAAGACTGAAGAAGAAAAGGCAAGTTGGTTTTAAATTTGTCTGCAACATTAGATGCCAAGGAGAAGGGGAAGTTATTGCTCAAGTTCTCTACCTGATCAAGCTATTGATCCCCTGTACAGGTCGCAGAAAGACATCATCAAATATGCAGATCCCAGTCGTGGGCAAGTTTTAGTGCATTAAAATAATCAAGTTGAAACAACTCTATTAGTCAGAATTCATTTGGAGAAGCAGAGACGCGCATGCAGGTGTGTTACTGGGGACTGGACTTCTGCAGTGTGGGGCTGCTGGTCAGGCAGTCTTCCTGAGGCTGTAGTGGTCAACGGCCTGTGTGGAGGTAGCTGGGGCCAGCAGAGGGGAAAGCAGAGTGGGTGGGAAATGGAGACCAGGAAAATCCAAGCATGAAGTGGAGGCCACAAGGGCAATGCACGGGATGGAATCACCCAGGTTTTGGGCACAACTTTGCATCACTAAATGCATTCATCTGGCTCAGGAATCCTTGCCTCATGGAATGACTCCAATTTTTTTTTTATTGGTGCATTATAATAATACTGGATAGTAGGATTGATTATTGCCATAATTGTG